GGGTTCAAATCCGTCTTCCTCAGTGTATGTGGCTGGTGTCCTAAGCACTGAGCTACAGGCACTGACCCTGCTCCAGATGTTTCCCTGAGTCTCCCACCTATAGCCCCCAGCCCAGGGACGTGAACTGGGGAGAAGGCGGGGGGGGGGTGCAGCCCTGGAGTTGGTGGGGGAAGGAAATGTAGACAGCATGGATAACACTGACACACGGTTCCCGTTTACATAGCAAGTGACGGCTTAGCATGTGCTTTAACTCTGCTGTCAGGTGTCTGCAGCACAGATAGGATTATTCTCTTCACCTTGTAGGTAAGGACATTTAGGTCCAGAGATTAAGTGACTTGTACAAGGCAACAGAGCAATCTGGTTGTACACCTGGAGCCAGATCCAGGACTAGCCTTGCTCCCCATGCTGCTTCCACCACACTTGGCTTCCAAACAAAGTGCATCAGCCCCTAGCTGGTGGATCTGGACTTGCCACAAGAACCCCTACTCCTCCCACCTTCCCAGGCCTCGGCTTCCCATCCCCACACCGCTCCCCTTCATCACCTGCACGAACTGCTCCAGGGCCCGCTGGTCCAGGCAGGTGTAGTTCTCCAGGAAGCGCAGCTTTTCAAATTGAAATTCGTGCCTGGACTGGGCCTCCGCCTGCTTCTCCAGCAGCTGGAAGACAGTGGCCCCGAGCAGCAGGTAGCTGATGTAGGCCAGCAGGAGGGGCAGTGCCCGGCCACCCCAGCAGCCACAGAGCCCAGTCCTGGGCATGGCACAGCCAGGACACTTCCAGGGCCTCGGGACTAGCTGTGGGGGCAAGGTAGGAAGCAGGCGAGGAGTGAGCACCGGAGGACCTGTACCTAGGCTGCTGCCCGCCCTGTCCTCCTCGGCACAGGTGTCTGAGCGGGGAGTCTGTTTGAACAGTGCAGCTCAGTGCGGCTGCACTAAGTGCCCCGAGTGCAAACAGGGCTGCCACCCCCCGCCTGGCCTTTTTGCATGGACAGCAGCAAGTCAGAATCATGGACCCCTGAAAGAGACCTACCGGGTTCTCCTGAGCTCATCTTGTCTCACCCTCTGCCTTCCTTCAAGCAGGATGGTTGTTTCTCAGCTAAATCAGATGCATTTGGACCCCAAATCGGGGCATTTGGACCTGAATGGGCTCTTCTCAGCAGCCCCTAACTCTGCTGCCCGTGAAGGTCGCGGGCCCCCAAGCTTGGGAGCTGGGAAGAGATCAGAATGGGTGTGAGTAAACCTTCCACTCAGTTGCCTTGGCTACAAAACGAGGCTGGAGAATTGACCTGCCTACTGGGGGAACCCCGGGATGAGTAATCTGGGTGGCAAAGTAAACAAACGATAAGTACTGTTACTGTTACGCTCAGTAACAGTACCAGGTTTGAAGCTGCCAATAAATCAGACCTGTGGCTTTGTAAGTTTGTATGATTCTTTATCTTGCTTGAAATCCTTTAGGTTACCTGCAGAGGGTAATACATTTATTGGTGAAATGTATGTCAGTTAAAAAGGAACTCAGAGTATATCCCTGTCCTGGGGCTGAGCAGTGGGCCTCTGTGAGTGGGCCGGAGGGAGGCGCTCCCTCCTCCGCTCAGCTTCTGTGTGTAACAACCATAGGAGATAAAACTGACATCCCGTGTTGTTCACACATTTACAGCGCACAATTCAATGGTTGCTTTTTAGTATATTTACAAAGTTGTGCAACCATGGCCACAGTCTTTTTTAGAACATTTTTATCAATTCAAAGGGAAACCCCACACCCTTTAGCCATCAACCGGCTACCCCCGGGCCCACACCGCTGGGCCCCTGGCAACCCCTCCCCTGCTTTCTGTCTCAGTGGATCTCCCCATGCTGGGCATTTCGTATCAGTGAAATTACACAATATGAGACCTTTTCTGTCTAGCTTCTTTGCTTGGTGTGGCATTGTCAAGGGTCCTCCGTGTCGTGGCGTGTGTAACTGCCTCAGTCCCCTCTGTGGCTAGGGATCCTTCGTTGTCCGGCTTGCTGCATTTTGTTTGTCCATCTGATACCCAGCTGATGGGCATTTGGGTTGTTTCCATTTTTCCTGTTAGGAATCACGCTGCTAGGGACATTTGTGTTTGAGTTTTTGTGTGCGCCTGTTTTCATTTCGCCCGAGTATGTATCTGAGACCAGCATTGTGGGGCTGTATGATCACTCTTCATTGAACTTTTTGAGGAGCTGCCAGAATGGTTTTCAAGGTGGCTATTTTATATGCCTTTAATGAACTGTGGCTGCAGACACTGTGCGTCCCCAGCCAGCAGAACCCCAGTCTTGTACGTGTTGACCCCAGGCCATGGTGTGTGATTGGTCCACCCATCGTGATAATCCTGCTTCCCTCTGTCTCAGGCTGAGTTCTCCAGGAGCAGACCCTGAGAGCTGACTTGTGTACAAGCAGTAGCGTAAGTGAAGACTGTGAGGGCTGGGCAAGCAGGGCCAGGCCGAGGAGATGGCCGGACAAGGCACCTCAGCCCCAGCTCCGGCCTGGGTCCTGCGGCGCTCTGCTGGGTGCAACACATCCCGGTGAGCCCCAAGTGGAGGACGGGGGCCCACACCGGGCAGGCATTCGGCCATTCTGGCTCTGCACAGGGGAAGACAAAACGGGAGTCCGCTGAAGAGGAGGCACCAGGTGCAGGCCAGGCCACAGAGGAAAACCACAGTAAAGCCTGGGGAGATGAGAGGGTTGACATGATGCCTGCACCCACTTTCTCAAGCCCTCTTGCAGCTAGGTGTGGCCACAGGACCTAAATCTGGCTATAGGTGGGCAGAGTCAGCTGTGGAGGTTTGAGGCAAAGTTGATCTTTCTTGACGAAAGATTTGGCTGCAGCTGGCCTCACTTTTCTTCTTCTTTCTGTCCAGAAGACACAGATGACTGGACCTGCAGAGCCATCTTGTGTCCATGACAGAAAGGTCAAGGGAATGCTAAGATGCTTGGCCAGTGCTTAAATGCATCTGTCTCTAGATTTCTTTTTATGCCAGAAACAGAAACCCTGTTAGTTTTAGCCATGGTTAGGCATTCTGTTACTTCCCGATGGTTCTTTCTGAAGGAATTGTTCAAGGCTCATTTGAATTGGAAGGATAGCAACATGCTCCAGTTACCCAAGTAACGGAGACGTTTGCTGTGGGAACCCAGGCGTGGCCCACGTTCTGGGACTCGCTCTCTGCTGCCAGAGTGGCCTGACCATGCTCCTAGCTGTGACCCTCACCTGTTCTGGTCTCTGATCTGCCCTCCATTTCTCTGTCCAGGGCTCTGCTCTGGGTTGACCTCCTGGCCTCTGGCCAGCTTCTGATTCTTCCTCTGAGTATTTTTTGGTTTAAATCTCTTATGGAGGGGCTGAGTGTCCACAGTAACTTGTCATGGCCATCTGGCTTTGGGTCAAGTGCCACCCTCAGCTGCATGCCCCCAGCCAACGCAGCAGGGGTATCACAGGTGTAGGCATCATGTGGAAGGTGCTGTGGGAGGCAGATACTGTGGCTGGCCCATCCAGGATGAGTGACCATTGTTTCTGTAAGGAGGAGAAAACGAGACAGCAAGGGAGCGTACAGAAAGTGAAAATAAAAGCAAAGGGGAGAATTTTACTAGTGTGTGGAAGACCAAGAGGGTGGGAGGCTGGCAGTAGCCTATGGTTCTTCACCTGCTCTAAGGCTGAAGACCAGACCATGTGGAAACACCACGTCCAGTGAGTGGAGACGGAGGCGGCGCTGTGCATCAGGCCTGCCCCGATGCTGTGCCAAGTGCCAAGAAAGGCTTTGCATCCCTCCTTGGGGGCAGCTGTGGCCCTGCCCGGGGTGGTGCAATGGGAGCCCATCTTCTCTGGAATTCTGTGGCTTCTGGGTCACTATGAAGCCAGCTGGGATCTGTGAAGTGATTCTGTACAAGTCTCATCTTACACGGTCCTGGAGTTTTCCCAGACGGCACCTTGTTGGCACATGGGCTCGTCCTGAAGGGGGAAAAAAGCATTTGGAGCCACAAAACTCACCCTTGCTTGGTTTTCCCCTGTGTTTTTGGAGAGATGGGGCAACAAAGTGCTGGCGGTCATCCCTGCTACCGACTCGCTGGTTCTTGGCTTTAAGCAAGGGCTGGAGCAGCATCTGCGCGGCCGTGTGGTGATCAGATCCCGTTTGGCAGCCTCAGAGAAGCTCAGTATGTGAAGCGGTCTGTGTCTCCTGTGTCATTTGGAGGCTCATCAGCGGCGTCTGGAAGGCCTCAGGAAGGACCGAGCGACTCCTTAGTGCTGGACAGTTGCTCTAAGACGGGAGGAAGTGAAGGAGAAGGGAATGGACGGTCTGCCCGGGGGAAGGGTGAACGCAGTGGGCCAGAGGGACAGCTGTGACAGGCTGCCGTAGAGGGGAGGCTGGATCAGGTCCTGGGAGGGGAGAAGTCCCAGGTTTTCTGGGACTGCAAACCATTCATGCTGGCAAAGTTGACCAGGACAGCGGCTTCTGCCTTCCCTGGCTGCTCCTCCCCTCCCCTCTGGTGCTCCTGCCTCTCCACTTCCTTCTGGCTGTAGCCTTCACATTTTGCTCTTGCACTTGGGTTTGCCCAAAGCCCAGCAAAGCTTAATCTGACCGGGGCTTAGGACAGAGTTCTACTCAAGACCACATCCAGTTTAATGCGGGACTTCTGAAACCCTCAGGTCCCAAATGCCAATGAAGTAGTAACATAATGGTAGACTTTGGGGGAGACCTCAGCTCGGGAGGCCCCAAAGCTCATTGCATCAGAGAAGAAGACCTCTTTCTTCCTCCCCTGCTTCCTTCCCAGGCTTGTTCTTTTTTCTTTTCTTTTTTTGGTGACAGAGTCTCACTATGTCACCCTTGGTAGAGTGCTGTGGCATCACAGCTCACAGCAACCTCCAACTCTTGAGCTTACGTGATTCTCTTGCCTCAGCCTTCCAAGTAACTGGGACTACAGGCACCCGCCCCAATGCCAAGCTAGTTTTTTTTGTTGTTGCACTTGTTTTAGCTGGCCTGGGCTGGCCAGGTTTGAACCCGCCAGCCTCTGTGTATGTGGCTGGCGCCGTAACCACTGTGCTATGGGTGCCGAGCCTCCAGGCTCACTCTTCACGTGCTAATTGAAAGCACTTTCTGTGCTGGGACTGTTTTAGCGGCTCTTCCTCACCTGCTGTGGCTGTATGAGATCAGCACTTGGTCATTTAGGAGAGAAGCTGCAGGGACCTCCCTGCTCGACATCTTCCCTCTGGACACCACTCCACTGTGAGCTATGGATGGACACAAGGAATGATTTATAATCCCTTTCAGGGAATTATTGCTGCTAATGGGCAGAGCCAATTTGTGCTTCCCAAGGGGGAAGGGCAAAATCAATTAATGGACAGTCTGACATGACCAGGCCTGATGGCAGAGCATGGCCTGACATCCGGAGGTGATAAGGGACTTTCTGAGGCTGAACTAATAAGGAGATTGGGGAAAAAGAGGAAAAACATCCCTCCCCCAGATCAATTCCATGTACAATGGGCAGAGAGTACAGAGCAAACAGAACAGTTGAGCATGGCCTCTTTCCATCTGAATGAGCCCGAGATAAGGACGTGACAGGACGGGACAGGACAGGACAGGCCGCCCACCCACCATCCAACATAGGCATTCACTTATGGAGTCACCCAATAGACACGTATCCGCACAGGTGAAAAAGGACACCTTCCTATCTGGAACCGAGGGAGAAGATAAGGTCCGCCTGGCCCAGGTGTGTCCCCTGTAGCAGAAAGGGCAAGTGGCAAGGAAGAGCACTG